AGAAAGCAATCTCTGAAGAAATTGGGAAATCAAAGTTTTGTGTAATTGTTGATGAATCGTGTGACGAATCTAAGAGGAAGCAAATGGTTATAATGTTACGATTTGTTGACAAAAAATGTCTTATTCAGGAGCTTTTTTGGGCTTGTTCATGTGTCAAGGCATCACTGAGGCAAACAAAAAAAAAATGAAAAAGTATATACTTTATATTGTCTCATAATTCACTAAATATTCAAAATATTATAGGACAACAATACGATGGTGCAAGTAACATGCAAGGTGAGTGGAATGGGTTACGAGCTTTGATTTTGAATGATTGCTCATATGCTTACTATGTTCATTGTTTAGCACGTCGATTACAATTGGTATTAATTGCATCATCAAGAGAAGTTTTCATGTTCACCACTTTTCACTAAATTGACTTCTATTGTCAATATTGTTGGTGCTTCATGCAAGCGTAATGATGAACTAAAAAATGCTCAAGCTACTGAAATTGAGTACATGATTGCAATTGATGAGCCCGAGATTGGGAAAGGAATGAACCAAATTGGCACCTTACAACGTGCTGGTGATATTTGTTGGGGTTCTCATTTGAAATTAATTACTAGCTTGGTAAATATGTTTAGTGCAACATGCATAGTTCTAATTAATATAATTTATAATGGAATTACTTATTCTCAACGAGGAGATGCTGAAGCAGCTTATGAGGCAATGACTTCATATGAATTTGTCAAGCTTTGCAATGTCAATCCCAAGACATCATAAATGTCATGAATCTTGTTTCTTCTAATAAAGTATGATGGATGAGATTCTTTGCTTACCAAAGTGAATTCTTTTTGTGAAGCACAGAACATAGATATCGTATATATGAATGCTCATTATGTTGTAAGATGAGGTCGAGCTCATCGTTAACAAGATGATTTTATGATTAAGCATTATTACATGATAGATATTTTTTATGTTGTAATTGTGGGAATACATATTTCGCGGACCAATAAGGAGGCGACATGTGGAAAAAGAATATTCCTTAGGTCAACTAATTACCCTAATTAAATATATCTTTGATTTAAGATAGGAATATCTCCCTAAATCAAGGAACCAATTTCCACCAAATCTCTTAGAGTAATTCCTATCATCTTTTTGGGTAAGAATAATCCTAACGAAATAAGGATTATTCTGCTAAAACTCTAGCACACAAGGAGCCTATAAATACATGGCTACACAAGGCATTCAAGGTAATTATAAACTTACATTCAAAACTCTAGCCAAATTTCCTTTCTCTTTCTCTTTCTCTCTGGCCGCCCCCCTCACGCTCTCCCTTACATGGCAAAGCACCACCACACACGACTGCAGCCACTCGGCTCTCTGTGTGAGAGAAAACTCTATCCATTTTAGCTATTGTCGTATCTTTATCAAAATCCAATCGAACTAACTTAGGCATGGGAGGGCTTTTGGCCAACACCCGGATGTGGTTTATTTACTCCTATTTATTTCACAAGGATCGAGAAAGAGAGAGAAGAAAGATCAAGGATCAAAGAATCAACCTGCGAATATTCCCCGTGCGAAATTTTGCTCAAATAGTAATAGATTTCTCAACTCAAAGAATTAAATGGCCGATTTCATGATCAAACAACAAAGCTACTTATTCTAGGGTCGTCTTTGGATCCTCTTGAAGTGAATAAGTCTTTTAGAATTGATGATATCTGTCAATTGGTAGATAAGTTCTACCCGCAAGACTTTGAAGATCATGAGAAGATAGGTTGGTGAAGACAACTTTAACATTTTGAGAGTGTTCTAAAGTTCAAAAACTTATCAACAGTTTCCGATCTATCTCAATGGATGGTAATGACTAGAAGATCAACGACATATCCACTTGTTTATAGAATGGTTGTGTTTGTGCCTACTCTTCCTGTTTTTACTGCAACTGTTAAGTGATCATTTTCTGCTATGTGTACAGTAAAAACTAGGCTTCGTAACAAGATGGAAGACGAATTTCTCACAAACTCTTTGATTATGTACATCGAAAGGAACGTAAGGATTAGCTAAAATGCGAAATTAGCATTGACTCAATCATAGATGGTTTTCAAGATATGAAAGAACGACGAGTGTTATTTTGATACCTAATTGAATAAACAATTGTTTTCGGCCTTTTAATTTTCCAAACATTGTTAAGGTTGAAAATTTGGAATTTTTAAAAGTTTTTATTTTTTGTTTATAGGTTGCCCCCTCTTCCCCTACATCTCTCTCCCCCCCAAATATAAACTCATGGCTCCGCCACTAGACACAAGAAATATGTGCAGTTGGGTTGGTTGAGAAACATATCTAGCATGACTCTAATTGTGCCTCCTGCCTCATTTGGCCATGCTTTCTTCATGTGGTGCTGACGATATTGTTAACTATAAATTTAAGTCAGCTCTAGTTATGTTTTCTCAATGCCAAAGGATGTTTGAATGATCTCAATCGATCTAATATATTTTAATTATGAAAGAAGAAATTCGTGACAATGAGAGTGTTTTGGAGTCATTGTTTTATCTACTTTTGTCGTCAAGTACCCAATGACTCGAGAAAGAACTTTTCATGTATCGAACATTTACCTTTGAATTGTTTTGTGGTGCAATAGTATGTGTTTATGTTCTTAATTTTATGTATTTTCTTTCTTAAGTATGATGTTTATGTTCATAAGGTAAAATACTATCCATTTTTTATTAGCTGTGCTTAGAGGATGAGATAGTTTGATATATTTCAGCTTTCACTAAATTTATTGTCTACATGAGAATGCAGTGAAAGCTGGAATCCATCAAAATACCTCATCCTCTAAGGAGGGCTCATAAAAAATGGATGATCCCCTACCTTCTGAACATAAACATCATACCTAAAAAAAGAAAATACATAAATTAAGACATAAAAACGTAATATTGCACCACAAAAACTGTTCAAAAGAGTTACAATAAAAGTTCGGTACATGAAAAAATCTTTCTAGAGCCATTTGGTATAGGACGACAAAAGTAGATCAAACAATTACTTCAAAACATTCCCAATGTTACGAATGTCTTTTTTCATAATTAAAATATGATAAAATTAACTGTACTCATTCAAACATCTTTTGGCATTGAGAGTCTTTACTACATCATGATAACTCTCCCTTATGTAAGTATAGTTGTTTCCTTTCTCTATTAGTATAGAGTAAACTCCCTTATTTGTTTAAAGTTATTGATTGTGTCTTGTAAATATTAATTTCCAAAAAAATTTAGGGAAAATTATTATTTCGGTAATTTATTTTGAACCATCACTATCTTGTTCATGTCACTTTTTCAAAAAAGCCAATTACAAAAGTTGAATTAGCTCTTTCTTTCGGTTATAAGGGAGTCCTCCTCTGGCACCAAAGCTAAGCATGCATTTTTGTTTGTTTCCTTTTCATTGAATGTTCATATATTCAATGCACTTCTGATTTCTCATTGCCTTCACAATATTATTCATTTGATCAGTTTACTTCTCATAATGCAGCTAAAGTATTTGCCAAGCTTCATGAAGTAAGGGCAAGTTTTTTTCTTGTCCTTTCCCACTTACCATAGTATACTTAAGGAAAAATTTAGTTGTATACACAAATTGCAAATTGGTACATTTGTATACACAACTTGTGTATTATTGGACTGTGACAATGGATTGTTTATCAACTTTTATCTAACTATACGATCCGAATTTACAACTTAGTTTTCATGTAGCAAAAGAACATTATTCATCATGTTTAAATATCGTACAATATAATAAAATATACGAGCTAATCACTTATATCCAAATATATAAAGAGTAATGCGAACATTCTAGAAATGATTTTTTTTTCCTTTATCCCTGACACATAACATGTGGAAACTTACTTTACAATGCTAAGGATATGTGAAAGGAGGAGGTTGTGAACCCTGAACCTCCTAAAAACCAGAGCTAACACTTTGGGCTTGGATGTGGAGTATGACCATGTAGTTTGCTGCTAGGAGAAAGAACCTAGCCCAAGTGGGGTAGGCTTATATTTTTTTTTATAAATACAAGTGATAGTCTACAATGAGAATGGGGGTTTTCTCACATACACTATCAAGGTGTCATGGGATTCGAACCTTAAACCATTAGTCTGCAAGTCAATGCCCTTATTTACTGAGCTATACCCCGTTGAGGGGTAGGCTTATATCTGATTGTGCTTAGTTTTTGTGAGGGGGCTCTTGACCAGGGGCGGAGGGAGTTAAGGCCATCTTAAGTCATGGACAATTACAAATCTTTTATTAAATTTCAGATTGCCCTTTTTTATTTTTATGTTTTTCTTCTCTCTCTTTTCCATTTTTATTACTACCCATTCTAAATATCTTTTCGTCTTTTTTCGCTAATAACAATAATGAGTATATAGTTAATCTAATATATAAAAGAATAAAGTATAGTAATCAAATTTAAGAATTTTGTATTGAATAAAAATTAATTCCAATGTCACTATGTAGATAAATATATTTATATCATTATATTAGGTGCTCCTCTGTGAAAATTTTCTGGCTCTGCCACTACTCTTGACCCCCTAATGTCCAAATGTTTAATGGGAATTTTCCCATGTTTAATTATTTTCTTGATTTTCTGTGAAGAAAATATGGTTGTGGAAGAAGATGGGGTTGGTGTGATGGCGGCGTGCCGTCAACTCTTGCAACTGTTTTGTTGTTATTGACGACGACCACTAGACAATGAGGATATATTTTTGTTTTTTCATTATTTTTAATTTTAATCAAGAAAGAGAGAGTAAAAAAAATATATAGGAAAAGAAAATTCCACACTCCACCGCAGAACAGAGTAGCTGAAGTGACCAAGTCCCTTTCTTTCTCAATCGTGCTCAGAACTGTTTCTGCTAAAAAAGCCTACAACTTTATTCTTATCCTCCCAGTTCATCTCTCCTCTAAATTTGTTTGTTTTCTCTTTCTGCACCCGAAACCCAAAACCCAAATCCCAAATCCTTCTTCTTCTCCGTTCCATACATGGAAGCCATGCCACAACCTCCACAACAAGCAGCAGCAGCAGGGGCCCGGTTCACTCTGCTGAAGCAGTCGTCGCTCGCACCGGACCGGGAGGATTCGGTGACGCTGGAGCCGGTTGACCCGAATGTGAGGCTGATGTACATGGCCAACGAGGGCGACTTGGACGCCATTGAAGAGCTCTTGGACTCCGGAACCAATGTCAATTTCAGAGACATTGATGACCGCACCGCTCTCCACATCGCCGCCTGCCAGGGCCGAACCGACGTCGTTCAGTTGTTGCTCAACAGAGGCGCCGAGTTAGACCCACAAGACCGCTGGGGCAGCACTGTAAGACATTTCACTGCCAATTTTGTCATTTTGGGTTTGTTTGTATGTGTGTATAGGTTGCTAGCAATTGCTTTGCTTAGTGCCAAGGACTCAGTGAGTGATTTATTTGTTCAACAGCCTCTTGCAGATGCAATGTATTACAAGAACGATGATGTGATCAAACTTTTAGAGGAGCATGGCGCTAAACCTCCGGTATTTTGTGGATTTTATGTCATCTACTTGTATTTGGGTATGCAAAGTTCCACAAATTGAGTATTTTGGTTCTTCCAAATTTTAGATGGCTCCCATGCATGTCCAAAACGCACGTGAAGTCCCAGAATATGAAATTGATCCTACTGAGCTTGATTTCTCCAACAGTGTTGATATAACTAAGGTACGTCTCATGAGTCATATCATATGGGGAAAGGTCCTATACTATGGGGTAGGCAATGGTTTTTATTCTGTTTTAAGAAGTCTGATTCAAGTACACGTCGGTGACACAAGGCAAAGGCTCCTCCTTTCTAGCTGATATAATAACCAACTAAGCAGCTAATAAAGCAATTATAAATGGCAAAAGATGTCAAGGGATTGAAATTGAAACTCAGAAGTTTGAGTTTCTGGGTGCAGGAGAACCAGCTCCACGTCAAATCTATGTGACCATAATGGCTCTTTTGTCTTGGTGCATGCATCTAGTTACTGAGCATGATATTTCTGCTGGGCTTGTGAGGAGCTATATACCTCTGGCTGGGTTTAACTAAAATTTCCACATTTCCACATAGAAATGAAGGAAGTGAAAAAGTAGTCTATGTGACTAGTTTTATGTGGGCGTCTGTTCAATAAGCTTAAGATAAAAGATTCAGTTGAGTACGGATTACTAATGATTAAGGTACTGGGTATGATGCGTTTAATGGCGATATTGATCTTGATTGCGTTATTCAGCTGTTTATTCTGTGTTTTCCATTGAAATATATGATAGGGAACCTATCGCATTGCATCTTGGCGCGGAATTCAAGTTGCAGTTAAAACGCTCGGGGAGAAAGTATTCTCTGATGAAGATAAAGTGTGGGTTTGTCTTACTTTAGGCATAAATTTTTGTCTGTATATTATTACTATTATACTTTCTAGTGTAATTTTGATAAGACTTAAAAAGTCTTGAATCTTTATTTTTTACTGGAGTTTTAATTGCTAAATGGAATCTCAGAAATGCATTCAGGGATGAGCTTGCTTTACTTCAGAAGATGCGACATCCAAATGTTGTCCAATTTTTGGGTGCTGTAACACAAAGCAGTCCAATGATGATTGTCACAGAATATCTACCCAAGGTCTGACTGAAACATGAGAAGAATTTAGCTTGATATCTTCCCTGAAAAACATAATTCATTCCTACGTCTTACATGTTTCATTATCTTGTGTCTGAGTATTTGATTTTGACTTTATTCAGAAAACACTTGCATTGCATTGAGATTACAAAATAAAGGCATAAACGGGGCATTGTCCCACTGTAGATTGTAGTACAAACAAAATGAGACAAATGTATTGTGTGGTTGTTTGGCATCATACACAATTGTAAAGATTTAATATATTTTTTATTGTCTTTTTCATCAGAATATCATTACATTCGAAGCTTTTGTTGAGCCTTTGTTTTTACTTTTGCAGGGAGATTTTCATGCATATCTTAAAAGGAAAGGTGCGTTAAAGCCAACAGCAGCAGTAAAGTTTTCACTTGACATTGCTAGGTCAGTCAAGTGGCTTGTACACTGAATTTGTTTGCAAGTTTTTTTTGGAAATGTGAATGGTCATCACAAATGCCTTATCTTGACATGGAATCTGATGTTTCCATGCTATATTATCAAGTTGGAGTTCTATTATTTTGTGTGTGGAATTTGAGGTGTAATTCTTTTAATTCCTTAAATATTTATAGCAAGTGTCATTTCTTTTAATATTCTTAGTACTTGATTGACTTGAATCATAGCATACCACATTCGTGGATTTCCTTAATTTGATACAAGGATGGGGTCATTGGGGAGGTTTTTTTTGTTTTGGAACTTACCAGCAGTTAAAAATCATAAGGTCAGCTGCTTGGTCCGCGTTGCCTCTGTGAGAATTATAGTCCCTATGGAGACATCCCATTAAAAGTGAGAACTCTAATTCCCTGTACGGTTAGAAAATTTATGGGTTGGGAATTCAAATATGGGGTGAAGATAATGAAAATGAAACTAACTATATAATAGAAAATCCAACGAAGAGCAGTCAGCCAATTACTTGTTTCCTCTGTTACTACTGCAGTTTTTGCATCATATTGGACTGTTACAGTGAAGCTATGTATGCTTGGTTGTAGAGGTGTTTTGTTGTCACTGTGTGAATCATTGAATGGGCTTGAAGGCCAAGTTGGTTAGTTTTGGTATCTACCTTCTATTTACTGGGGCCATGGTTTTGTGTGGATCAAATGCAAACAGTATTCTTTGATTGAGTTTGTGGTTTTGGCATTCATGATGGTGGAAGGTGGATGATTGCTACCTGTTATAGCTAGGCAATTTCATGTGTTCTCTTAGCTTAATGAGCACTACACTGATATTTCAGGGGGATGAATTATCTTCATGAGCATAAACCTGAAGCAATAATTCATCGAGATCTTGAGCCCGCGTATGCTCTCTCTCTCTCTCTCACACACACACACACACACGCATTATTGCTTTTATTTTTTCTAGTGGCAAAACAGATGTAAACCATCATAGTTTTACTTATATATTATCTGAGTCATCAGCTGGAAACTTATCAAATGAGCCATTGAGCGCAGGAAGGACAAGTGGATTGTGACCAAGTAATATAAATGGGTTGAAAACTTAAGTTGAAGCCTAAACTGAACAAAATTGAGTGGGCTCAATTTGGGCACAAATTGATACCTTGCATTCTTTCTTTCACTCCTAGTTTAATAAATTGTTTTAAACAGTGTGGACTTTTTTCATCTTAGCTGAGCGTGTGAAGCATCATAGTTATATGCTGGCATGAATCATGCACTATCAATAAATAAATGGTTGAAGCTGTTGATAGTTTCTTAATTGTTCGTGAGTAAGATAACAGAAACATATTGCGGGATGATTCTGGGCATCTGAAAGTTGCAGACTTTGGGTTGAGCAAGCTACTGAAAGTTGCAAATACAGTTAAAGAGGATAGACCTGTGACTAGTCAAGACACTTCTTGTATGTTGCTCCTTTTCTGAACATTATTATCTTCCATTTATTTGATCAATGCTATTCTGTGTGTAAAATTGTAGAGTCATCCAATCAATTCTGGTCTTTATTAAGAAATAAAACCCAGCTTGTTTGGATGACAATTTTGCTAATTTGAACTGAGAGGGAATACACCCTCAGTTTATTGCATGGATTGCTAACCCTATTTGAATCCCACACAGGCTCTTGTAATTTAGTTAGAGCTCTAGAATCTTAGCAATTCTTTGTCTCCTAAATGTTAGACATTACTGGATAAGGCTTAAGCTTATGTAAACATGTAATGATTCCAATTTTGATTATCTAGTACTTCCAATCAGCATGTATGCCTATTGTTGCTGATATAATGAAATCTCCAATGAACAGGGAGATATGTGGCTCCTGAGGTTTACAGAAATGAAGAATATGATACCAAAGTGGATGTTTTTTCATTTGCTTTGATCTTGCAAGAGGTACTCTCTCTCTCTCTCTCTCTCTCTCTCTCTCACACACACACACACACACACACACAGTGCTAGATTTTTTTTTTTGTTAGTTGTCTGACCAAGTTTGTTGTCATTTGTTCTATGTTCATACGCCCAATTAGTTTCTGTTCATCAATGTTTTCCAATTATCAGGGTTTGTGCTCTTGATGTTCTAAGCAGATAATATTTACCCTTTTTTTTCTTTCCAGATGATTGAAGGTTGTCTACCATTTTCTACAAAGCCAGAAAAGGAAGTTCCTAAGGCATATGTTGCAAATGAGCGCCCACCATTTAGAGCTCCACCAAAGTATTATGCACATGGATTGAAGGAGTAAGTTGTTTGCAAGCATATGACCTTATGTATATATGAGGTGTCATTTTCTTTATGCCTACCCACTTGTTTGTGGTACTAGAAATGAGTTTTTGACCAGTCTTCCAAACTGTTGCTATCTACACCTCATGATTATAACCAAGTTTGGCTCCCTAATTGTTGGAACCTAAAAGCTTTGAAGATGGGGGAAACAAAGCTTTCTATTTTAATTTTATTTTATATAAAAAATATTATATTGTGAAACTCCAGTTTGAGAGGAAAATCCCTTGTTTCGATGCTCAAGATCTTTTATATACTGGGGTATATTCTCTTTGATAAGGGGAGCTTCTTGTTAAGAAAGCTTACTTGAAGTTTGTGTACAGGTTAATTGAGGAATGTTGGAGTCAGGATCCGTTCAAGAGACCAACATTCAGGCAAATAATTAAGAGGTTGGATGACATTAATACCCAGTTTGCTCGAAAAAGACGCTGGAAGGTGCATTCTCTCTCTGCCCAAATTACCTGGTTTTGACACTTGGAAATGCATTTTCTGGGATACTTGATTCCTTTCATACATCTGCTGGAAATTTTCTTGTTGCTGCACACAGTGCAGAAATTGCATTCTAGTGGTATTCATGCTATGTGCAAGTCAATTTGGCTGTGATTGTAAATGCACTTTTGCAATTTCTTGTATTTTGTACAGGTTATGCCACTTAAATGTCTCCAGAATCTCGAGGCCATGTTGAAGAAGGATCGTACATGCCCAAGCAGCCGTTCATCTACCCAGTCTACAGTGAGATGAGTAAGGCTCAGTTTGGGATTGCTGTCACTTTTAAAAAAAGTTGTTTCTGCTGTGCTTTGAAAATAATTAGCTGTAAAGTAAAGCAGCTCCGTGTTTGGTAAACAATATTTTTAAAGTGCTGTTAGTACAAAAAGCAGTGTCAAAACCGTTTGGTAAGTTTTAATATAAAATTGTTGTAACTGTGAATAATGACTAAAATAGACATGATGTTAAAAGTGTTATGTACTAATCATGTGGTAGTAGTGTTAGTGATGGAGTGGAGGTGGTGGTGGTAGGGATGGCGCTTGTGGAGGTGGTGGTAGTGACAGCATGGTGGTGGAGGTGGCAGCATGGTGGTGGTGGTGGTGTTGGTTGTGGAGGTGGTGGTGGATGTGGAGGTTTTGAAGGAGGCGGTGGTTGTGGTGGTGGTGATGGTGGTTGTGGTGGAGGTGGAGGTGGAGGTGAAGGTGGAGTTGGTGGTGGTGGTGGCGATGGCGATGGCGATGGCGATGGCGGTGGTTGTGGAGGTAGTGAATGTGGTGGTGTAAGTGGTGGAGTTGGATGTGGAAGTGGAGGTGGTGTTATTTTTTAAAATGAATGATGGTATTTTAGGAATTAAAAAAATTCATTAAAGATTTATCTCTGCTTCTTTTGAAAGCAGCTTTGAAAAGCAACCCATAGCCTGCTTTTAAAAGCTGCTGTCAAAAGACCACTGCTTTTAAAATAATCGAGATATTTTATTTTTACCAAACACCTAAAACTTCTTAACTTTAAAGTGAAGCAGGTTTTTAACGAAAAAAAAGTAATCCCAAACGGGGCCTAACTATTGCCTCATGTCATGCAGGACAAAAAGCGATTTTTCTCCTCCAACTGAGGAAGCTTTTTTCTAGCAGAGTTTGTGAGATAGTTATACCTTTTTTTAGGATTTTCAGTTGTTCGACTGAGCCATTCCAGCATGCCAAGTTTGCCTCTTAGTTGGGCCAACAGATGCTGTGTAATACATCTTCTCACATGAAGAATTTGTAGAGTTTCTCCCAACTGGAGCATTTATTTCTTTTTCTTTTTTTTATACAATAATAATCATAACAAAACTAAACTTTTTGGTTGTTCTTAGGAATGGCCCCCAGCTTTATGGCTTATTGGGTGGCGTTGTTTGGTCTTTAAATCCAGAGAATTTGGAAGGAACTTGCAGCTTTAACATTTGCTAGCTAACCCAAATGACTGAATCGTTTTATCAAGATCGTGTTGTTGCAGTACATTTGTCAATTACGAAAGGACCTAAATGCCATGTGGGTAAAATTTCACAAGTTCTAATCCCCTCAAGTATGTGAAACATATATTAAAATAAATAAATAAAACAACAAAAAAAAAAAAAAAAAAAAAAAAAAAAAAAAAAAAAAATGGCAGAAAAAGATAAGGTAAATGCAAATGTTAAGCCATATGTGCTATAAGACTTCATCTCTCTAAGTAAGCACACAATAAAATAAAAATAAGCTCTCATTTGATGAGGGGAAAAATTCATTTGAATATGCCTAAAACAACTGATAACCATTAACAGTGTTGACAAGATAATATTTGCCAAAAATCTGAAGATTCCCTAATCAGATGCTAAGTTGAGGGCACCTCTCAGACTTATTCTATGAACAAGTACTAATTTTTTGGTAAATACCACAAGGTGTCCCCACACCCTAAGGGTGGGATTAATCCCCGCTCTGAGTTTGGCTTGCCCCTGACTACAATATGCTTCCAACGGATTTCGAACTCCTCCCATTGAGGCTTATTCTATGAACAAATACTAATTTTTACTCCGGCATCTTTCAGTCTTTTTCCTGGACTGATGGGCATCACAATTCAGAAAGAGAAAACTAGTATTTGTTCCTCCAGTGTTTATTTCAAGTAAACCCGCACGTATTTTCTGCCATCAATTTCCTGGCTGCCGTTATCATTGCTGCCATTTTTGTTCTGGCTGCCATTATCATCCTCACCCTCCTTATCTTGTTCACTAGTAAATTTGTTATAAAACTGCACAACCTTAGGGTGCACCTTAATCTTCGAGGGGTCGAAACCAGATAAATACAGGCCTTCCAAGCTTCTCACTCTGGAAAGAGCTACATAAACCATTCCATTTTCGAAAGCTCTGGAGAGATCGGTGTGAAGGCGGTCAAGAGTCATACCCTGACACTTGTGAATGCTTGAAGCCCATGCCAGTATGAGAGGTAGCTGCTCTCTTTTAGCGACTGAATCACCCTCTTTCGTAGTCCATGTATTTGGTTCAATCGTCATTTCTAACCCTGAATCAAATCTAACAACCGGTAGCAGCCCATCATCACATATTCTTGTCACACCCACATCCTTTGACTCATAAAATCCCGTAACAGTTCCAGTGGCACCATTCACCAGGCCACGCCAAGTATTCAAATTTTTTTACCAGCATCACCCTAGCATCTTTGCACAGGGCAATTTCTTTAGGCGCTATCCCCTGTTCAAGCTGCCTCTTCAAAGAATCCTCCCCGCTATCAACAGCTGTATAAACAACAAGTTCATTGCCCAAGCTTGCCAATCTACTTGAATTCACTCTATTTACATCTTCATTCCTTGGATAGAGTTGTACCACAGAAGGACCTGGCTCGGCTTTTGAGCAAGACTGTTCTAGTAACTTTAAGTCTTCAGGATCACTCTCCCCTCTTCTTATACCCTGAAGCAACTTGATCAGTTGAGGGTCAGATTGCCGAAAAACTTCGGTAAGGTTAACCTGTAAGTCAAAGCTAGAATCCCAACACTCTGCTTCAAATGCAAATTCCTTACCCCTTGAATTCTGTTGAGGTTTAACGGGCGGTAACTGAAAGAAATCCCCACTCACAACAAGTTGAATCCCACCCCAAACTTCATCGACTTGCTTAATGGCTCGGGCAATGAAGTCAAGACTCTCAAACAACTCTGCATCAACCATGCTACTTTCATCTAAAACCAACGCCTCGGCTTTCCGCCACCTCTTATAAGCCTTATCATTCTTGGAAATCCTATGTAGCAAAGTGTCTCTATCAGCCATAGCACATCCAATACCAGCAAAAGAGTGAAGGGTCTGCCCACTAATTGCGCAAGCCGCAACACCCGTAGGTGCTGTGACAAAAACCTTTGAAGGTGCATGACATTTCTTCAATTGTTTGATAATATGCTTAACCAAGATTGTCTTCCCGGTCCCCGCAGAACCGGTAATGAACACCGATTTTCCCTCAGAAATGGCTGACATGACTTGTTTTTGTTGGTCAGTCCATTGAACTCTCTCTCTGGTTTTAGTGTTTTTGGCCTCTCCCTCTCTAGGTTTGTATCCGCTCTTGTATTTACCTTGAGCCCATTTCGTGTTTTTGCCAGTGATTTTGGTGCTAAAATTTCTATGCGCAGACAATGCACAGCCAAAAAACTTCATACCCAACATTTTTCCCTTTCAACTCCTTTCTGGGTCCTCTAAATTAGGCTCTCTTTTTTCCCTTCTCATATTTGGTAACAGTAACAGATACAACAAGATGCACAAAGCATCATCAATATGAAAGGGAAATAGTTCATATGGTGAAATGAGATTGCTTGATATTAGGGGCAAAGTGATGAACAGTAAGAGAATATAGCAGAACCGAGAAAGCAAGGAAAGATTTGAGCTTTACCTTTCAGATTGTGCTTGGAATATGTACTGAGAGAAATTTAAAGTATTTCCCAGCCAACCCCAAAAATCTCCATCTCGAAATTAGGCTTCTTTAATCTGGAGAAGTTATGATACTGACATACAAGAAGAAGACGCAAAAGTTGAAATGGTCGAAGGTGGGCAACCCCACTTCTTCATTGACAATCTTGGGCTTGTGTTCTTCTTTTTGGGCTTTTTTGGGCTTCATTGTAACTATTTTTATATTGCAACTTCACTATTTAATTATTTGTCAAAACACTTCATTATATCATAATTCCCTTTTTTTAGGAAAAATCTATATCCATATCTTGAGCTCTAGTAAGACCCACCATGCATTGTATTTTAATAATATGAACCGTCTATTTTTTAGGTATTCATTCAAATATCATCTTTGCAAAAAATCACTTAAATCGGAATCCATTAACCACTCAATTAAATGGTTATTTTAGTGTTTCTTGAAGCACAATGTTCATACATTTTGTTAAGCACAACTAGATGTCTTAATGGTTTCCTATTTGCCTAATTTTTTGCAAGGATGATCTATGAGTAAAGAATTAAAAAATAGACGACTTGGATTGTTGAATTTAAATTCATAGTAGGCTCTAAAGGGTATCCCTCAATGAAAAGGGATTGTTTATCTATATATTTAGGGTGGTGATTTTTCCACTCCCCTTCGTCCACTTACACTCCCTTTTGTTTTTTTAATAGTTTTTACTATAACAAAAAAGGAAGTGTAAGTGGACAAAAGAGGAGTGAGAACATAACATTTCTAACAAAGGAAGTGTAAGTGGATAAAAGAGGAATGAGAAAATCAGCTCCCTATATTTAAAGGTAGTAAGAATGGTAAAACATTTAAAATACCAAAAAATTCCCTTATTAAAGAAAATGTTAACAAATGAACATTTTCATTACATGGGTAATATAGTAAATTAACAATAGTTTTACATTAAAAAAATTTGAAAAACAAAAACAAAATGAGAGCATACACTATTTTTATGAGATACAACTACACTTATTTTCTCTTTATTAATTTAAATTGAATTACTAATATATATATATATATATATTAAAAAAGGGGCTAGTAAATATTAAGAAAGGTTCTTTTATAAAATACTAGCCCCTTGGCACATGCATTGGCTTTATTTTTTATTTTTATTTTATTTTTAGAATTCAGAAAAGATAATATGGGTAGTTATGTTCCATAAAAGTAAGACATATTATCTAATTTTGTTTTTAATTTTAAATTTTTTAAATATGGAAAAATGTGAATTTACCATATTATTCTCATTTAATTAATAATTTCAATTATTAATGTTTGAATTAAAAAAATGCATTTTATGGTATTTTGAATGTTCACCATTCTCTGCCTTTTGATTTATATATATAGAAGAAAAACTAACTAAACTTTTATTATTATTATTATTATTATTATTTGCATTCTCATAACTGGCCAATTGGCCTTTTTTTTTTTTTTTTTTTTTTTTTTTTTTTTTTTTTTTCTTTCTCTTTTTTTTATTTATTTATCTATATTGGATTTTTTACATATACAAATATCATTTCTTTTTACATCATGTAAATATATAGATATTTAGAAAAAACAAACAAATTAAAAAACTGAAAAGAAAACATTAAAAAAAATGTGGGTGGATTGGAGTGGAGAGTAAAAAGAGGAATGTGGATGGAGTGTGGGAGTAACTTCCTCTATATAGTTACTTAGGTGGAATTTATTTTAATTTTATAATTGAGCAAATTAATGTTTTACCATTTTACTTTGATTATATTAATTTGCAGTCCTTTTAACACTTTGATTAATCCATTCTCTGTATTTTGCTTTATATATATATATATATATATATATATATATAGACAATGGCATTTATTGTATTTTTGAATGTTTTACCATTTTCTGCCTATATATATATATATATATTATATGAAGCTCATAATTGAAATTATATTGATAAATCCAGACTTTAGACTTCATTTGTTAAGGTAAAAAAACAGAACATGAATGATCACTATATATGGTCCAATACTTCTCTACAAACAGTTAGGTAAAATTCTCTCCAAACAATTACATACAATTTTTCAATTTCACTACAAAAAAAAAAAATTGACAACAGTTATTTGGTGACTATTGCTACTTTTTTTTATAGTGTTTTGAAATTATCTGTTCCCCATTATATTAAAATGGTCCAATAAATATAATGGTCCAATTGATCATATCTTGGGTTGGGTTATTCGAAGCAAAAGCACCTAATTTCATATCAATTTTGGGCATGCAAAGATACTTACATCATGGCAAAAAGAGAAGAAGAATTATTAGCATGAAAAGAACTACTTTCAACATTTGACTTCGTAGAAAAGTGTGATCCCATTTTCAGAATGATGCACATATATTTAGTATACAATTTTTGTCCATTGAAATCATCAAATAGTGGGTTGCAAAGCAGACGACATATTGATCACCTATGCATCATTCATTGAGAATTTTAGAAAGCATTTGGAAGCATTTTAGAAGTAATTCTCATCGCTTTTATAGCATGATGATGTAATTATGATTCACTGATAGAAAAAGAAGGAGCACCTCTGAGTAATAAACCCTAGACAACATGCAGGTGACCCCCTGGTTTTTGTTTTTTTGTTTCTTAAACATATCTGAGTGAGAGAGAATCTTTTTAGCAATTACTAACTAGTTATTATTATTAATGAGCTGCTGCTGCATCAGCAGCAGACTCTTCTTCCATCCCTGAGCCTCATCAGTCGTCATCTATATATCTACATGAGAGAGAGAGAGAGAGAGAGAGAGAGAGAGAGGAGAGAGAGAGAGAGATGGTGACATAAGAAGAAGGGTGGTAAGTAACCGTATATAAGGTCAAATGGAAAATGACCAAACATAAATTACACAAACGAAAAGGTGAAAAAGTACACTTAATTTATGAGTTGCATGCACTGCTACCATCGCCAACACCTGCTCTGCTGCTCATGAAGATTTGTCATGATCTGCATGCATGCATGTGTACTGCTTTTAACTGCATTCATGTTTCATGTCTGGAAAATTCAAACAGACGAGTTTCATCAGGGTTTGCCATTAAAACCAATAATCTAATTAATTCTGCAAATCACATCTTGTAATGAGTAATTTAGGATTCAGTACTCTAGAACATGCAGGATCGATAGACACAGAAAATATTGAAATTAATTCATATTATAATTGGTTGGATTTTGGACTACATAGTCTGTGAAAGTTAAATACAATCGAAATAGGAAAGAGACAGGAGACAAGGGTCTCGTTGTCTGTGCATGGCCTCAAATTTTTGGCCAGAGCGATCCTTCTCCACTTAATTACGTGCAACTTGGGGACCTTCTCCTTGGAATTTATTCTCCCAAATTCGAAGCACTAGAGGAGAGAGAGAGAGAGAGAGAGAGAGAGAGAGAGAGAGAGAGAGAGCAACTCTAAATTGTCATCCACATCAATGCGATTCCCTCACTTCCAAGTTCCTATGGCAACGTGTTGCTTCATTTTATACATTTCATTTCCTATAAGTTTTAGAGGCTCTTGATTTTTGGTTTTTTCACTATACTATTTAGAGGTGTCTATGAATAGGACCTTACTTCTCACCAAAGAAAGGTGTATTTGGTGGTTGAGCCTTGGACTCATTCTATTTGTGCAAATAGACTTGAGTCATACAGCGATTCAGATGGACTGTAGTATCCTGAAAGGGACAGATTAAGAAATATATTGCTGCACCGATTCGTGGGCTTGAATTTTCTAAGCGAAATTTCCACGCCTCAACCTAATTGTCTGCGTGCTTCTTGGAAGAAAAATATTACTAATTTCATTGTAATTTCCCCGACTTAACGCACTTGACCAACAAAAGAAAAACTTCTTGTTTGTTATGTTTCAATTTGTTTCTTTTAATTTTTTAAATGGAAAAGGAAGGAATATATATGAGTTATTTATCAAAAGTTGGTGAAGAAGGCAATGTTTGGTGGGTGGGTGTGCGTGAGAACATAATGACCGCTTCTTTCTTTACTTTACATCGGCTTTTATGGCAAAAAAAAGTACACCCTGCAAAAACGCACGCACAAACACAACTGTAAAAACTGGCTTTCTGGGATATTAATAAGGATTAATTAAGGCTAATGACTGCATGTGAATATATAAATAGAAACAATATTACGTCATGGTCAATACTTAATTATCTCTTGGTAGACAAGGTGAGGTGGAGGCTCTGAGTCTGAAGTCTGATGTATCAATTGAATCATGTGATTACAATTGATCGATTGTTCCTTTGTCACATGCATGCCATGAGTTGTCCAAAACATTAAATAAATTCCCAATTCCCAAATGCTTCATAAATAATATACATATATATATACCTAAATCTAACCTTTTAAAATTCTACCTGTGTCTAGCTAGCTGCCTAGCTTTTTTGTACCAAAAAGCAAACCCTATATAGGCCTAAGCTATTGCGTACTTGCCTAATTATGAATGTTCTAAAGATTCTTGCTACATCCTACATGAGGAACTCAATTATAATCACAAAGCAAAAGCCTAGCTCTATATACAGCTAGCTAGGGAATAACTTGGAAATCAAACTCTTGATCGACAAAATTAAACATAATTCCTACTAAAACAGTTAATATATTAAGATACCGAAGGCTTATAACCCTGATCCGTGTAGAATATTGGAGTTTATCTAATTTGTGTGATTTGAGATATGTGCGGCGAAGTTATAGGTAAAGTCTGAGATGGC